CACCGGCGACCCCCCCTTCCACTGTGGCGACTGTGGCAAGAGCTTCAGTGAGAGCTCCTACCTCATCCGGCACCAGCGCACCCACACTGGCGAGCGCCCCTACAAGTGCCCAGCCTGTGGCAAGGCCTTCTCCCGCAGCTCCCACCTGGCGCGGCACCAGCGCACCCATACTGGCGAGCGCCCCTACCCCTGCACCGACTGTGGAAAGCGCTTTGGGCTCAGCTCCGACCTGGCCACACATCGCCGCACCCACACAGGTGAAAAGCCGTTCCGCTGCACCGACTGTGGCAAGGCCTTCTCACGCAGCTCCCACCTAGTACAGCACCAGCGCACCCACACTGGGGAGCGGCCCTACCACTGCGCCCAGTGCGGCAAGAGTTTCTGCCACGGCTCCAACCTGCTGCAACACCAGCGGACGCACCGCGGTGAGCGCCCCTACCGGTGCCAGCAGTGTGGCAAGGCCTTCAGCCTCAGCTCCAATCTGATCCGCCACCAGCGCATCCACACTGGTGAGCGCCCCTATCGTTGCACCGACTGTGGACGCAGCTTTGTACTGAGTTCTGACCTCCTGCAGCACCACCGCGTGCACACAGGCGAGCGTCCCTATCAGTGTCCTGACTGCGGCAAGGCCTTCTCACGCGCCGCCCACCTGGCCCAGCACCGCCGCACCCACACAGGCGAGCGCCCCTCACACTGCCATCCAACTCCATCAAGCCCCAGAGCACCCACTTGCATGGCTGGCAGCCTGGCTGGCCACACACAGAAGGTGGGGAAGGCCCCCAAGATGGCGGGGCCAGCAAGGAGGTGGAGAGGCAGGCACAGCCTTAGCGCACAGCAGTGCTTGGAGCATGGGACCTACTACACACAAGAATCCATTATTGCCATCCTCCTAGCCAGATCACTTGGATGAAGTGAGAACCTATTAAACACCATGGAACCCTGCTCCGGATGCTGCCGGGAACCTATTAAATGTTGCGGACCCTACTGCTGCTTTAAGAGCCACATCACAACCCACAATGTATTGTACATCAGACTATGCTGCAATAGGGTTCATAACCACCCAGCCTATCAAGCATCCAGCAACTCAACCCTGGCTCCAGCACAGTCCTTTGGGCTTGTTTAAGTTGGCCTGGTTTAGAAGCAAGTTTTTTGGGCCTGGTGCAAACATGATCTCAGCGACCTGCAGGTGAGAGCAGCCAAGCCATAGTTTGATCCTTGCTGTCAGATGAATGCAGCTCCCATCTATGCCAAAGTGCTTAGTGCTTAGAGTGGAGGGCTCAGATCTCTCAAAGGCTGAGCGATTCAGCAGGCAGAAGCCAACCTGAGCCAAGTCAAACTAGCAATGAAGGGCAAATGTGTGCCAGGAGGGGGGATTCCAAAGCAGGGCAGCTCCTTCGGGGCTGGGGGGAGGAATGCTCAATCTCTGGGGGGGCACAACATCCAGGCCATGTGTCTCTGAAAGCTGTGTTCTAGCTCCAGGGTGAGCTCATGTGATACAGGGAGGCAGGTTGGGAGATGAATACTGTTCCTTCTCTCCTGTTAGCTGTAGTGGCATTCCCACATGTGCCCAGCTGTAGAGGGAGGCTCTTGTGAGCAAAGGCCTTAGAAGCTGGATCTGGGCCCTTCTTTTTGCAGTAACCCACCTCTACCCAGCAGTCTCATTTCCTCCCCTTCTGCCAGAGTTCAGCATGGCTCACACTCAAATGAGAAGCTGACCAGCAAACCCAAAGGATGTGCACGGGTGGGGGACGTGCTCCCAGAAAATCCAGCCAGCCAGGTGCCTCCAGATGAGATGCTACTAACCTCTCCTCCACCTGGCAGCATGCCCAGCCTGTGGCAGCTCTATAGAAGGCTGCCAGTTTGGAAGTACACTGATAGCTGGGCTGGAAACAGGCATCTTGGATGAGGTTCTGTGGTCTGTGCTATGTGCAGGATAGACAGGTGAGTGCTGTACTCCACTGGTTCTCAGATGTCTGTGTTTGTGACCCCTTTCACCCAGCAAGCCTCTGTGTGAGACCTCCCCTTATACATTCAAAATACTTTATAAAAACACCATTATAAATGCTGGAGGCAAAGTGGGGTTTGAGGTGGAGATTAGCAGCTCTACCCCCATGTAGTAACCTCATGATTCCTGAGGGGTCTCAACCCACCCCCCATTTGAGATCCATAATCTCTTCTGGTCTTGGACTGTACACTCTTGTCCTAGTCCGTCCTTTACCCAGTCTGTGCTGCTTCCAGCCTTCCTAGTTACTATCACTTGCCCAGGTCTCTCTCTTGCCAGTACTCTAGCTTCTTTGGGTGATAAAGAAACCCCCCATTTCTGCTTTATAGCACTTTTAGGGAGTGATCCGTAGTTTGTCATGGGCTACGTTCTCGCTGAGTGATTTCTCTGAGAGCCACTGCCCTTGTCAGTCTAGTCTTCAAGACACACAGTGCAAAGAGACAGGTGACACTCATAGGCTGTGTTCTTCCAGTCTGATCTGGGAGGCGATTGAATCTGCCCCCCTTTGGAGGTGCTCTCCTCAGAGGCTGTTGCTGTTTCCTAAAGGCATTCTGCAGGGTGGGCTTGGGGCTGGACTTGACCAGAATGAGCAGGTTCTGGGCTGTCCCTCAGTGAGAACGTGGGAAAGCATAGCAGCCAGCTAGCTCAAAACCTCATGTTTAAGTCAGCAATGGCAAGGCAAAGAGGTGACTTGGTACCCGTCTGTTAGTCCCGGCCTACAGGGAGAAGTTTCTGACAGGCAGTGACATGGGCCCAGCAAGGCTGGGAACTGTTGCCACACAAATTAACACTGGCACTAAGGGGCAAGAATTTCCCAGGGGAGGGATTCCCCCAGTGGAAGAAGTGACCTGCAGAGTGGGAGGGAAGATTCTCCATTGGTTGGAGTCCTTCGGTCCAGATGAGCTGTCTGCAGAAGCTACTAGGTGAGTGCTATGCAGGAGGTGGAATTAGACTATCCTAAAATAGTCTTACAATGGAAATGTGCCTCACTGCCTGTAGTGCAGTGGTGGGCAACTTGTGGCCTATCAGGGTTCTATGTATGGCCTGCAAGACATTTTGTTTACTGTTGCCTGTGTGCAGGGTTGCCAGATTCTGCTGGTTTCCATCCACATTATTTTTTCCTACCAGTATTACTAAAGTGAAACACACACAAAGCAAAGGCACGTGAAGCAATGTGCATGCTGATTGCTCATACTATTGACTGCAAGAGCCATGCACGCCCTCTGCATCCAATCAAAGTGCTGCTATAGTTCATTTGGCAAACTCTGCAAATTCTAGGTATGCAAGTGCAGTTAGCAAAACAATTCTATCCCAGGAGACTGTCTTGGTTACAACAATCTTGCAGACCACTGAGATGGAGGGCAACTCATGCAGCCCATGCACTTGCCTAGTTTGCCCACCACTGCTATAGTGGCTTTGAAAACCTCAAGGCCAATTCAGGCAAGCAAGCAGTGTGGAAGAGCTGTCCAGTACTGCTGCAGTGGGCTAATATGCTGCCAACCATACTGGCTTCATTATGCTTTTGTTACCAAGCTGCATTGTGAAGACATGACAGTCCAAAACAGTGTGGCAATTCCCTCTAGGAACCAGCTAAACTGGTCAGTCATTCAAGGAGGATAAGGACACTGCTGAGATATACATGATCTTGTGGGATGATAAAGTCAGTAAGGCATCCAAGAGTTCATAAGAAAGAAGCTGCTGAGATTTTTGGGAGCACCTACTTATAAGCAACAAATGATGTGCCTCCTTAGAAAATCCTGGAAGTTTTATTTCATTCCTTGCTAAACTGTTTGGAAGAAACACAGTACTGGAAGCCATCAACAATGGGGGTAGGAAGAGCTCTGACTGATGAGGAAAAGTCAGGCTGTGCTGGTGCATTAGACTTTGTGGAAAACAGCTCCAAACTAAATGTCAGTGAAAGAGAATCCAGTCCTATCATTCATCTGAATTCACAAAAGTCTGTGGCAGAGTCTCTCCCGAGAGCAAGGAAACTAGAAAGGAGGCGAGAGAGATAAAGGCTTGACATCTACCAGAAATGTCCTAAGAGACAGGAACTAATGGGTAGCCTTAAATAAATGGTCTCCTTTCATTAACATTCCAGTCATGCAAATCATCCCAGCTGATTTCAGTAATACCTACTAGGGCACATTATTACTCATCAATGAGCAACTGCACTTCATTTTGTTTATTATGCAGGCTCATAGCATCAGTGTAGAGGCAATTAAATAATTGCTTTTCTTTGGGTCCCTTGTCTTGCTTCAGTTCCTTCTCACTAAATGATCACCACTCTCTCGCTCCTTGTCATACAACTGATTACAAACAAGCTGATACAAACACTGAGGGGGAGTACAACTCTGTATAGCCAACTCTGACTGAAGCTATTCCAGAAGATTATTTTCCCCTGACATGGCATCATCTCAGTTTCTTGCAATATTCTATTAAAAGCTCCTGGATTGCTGTCAGTAGTCACCTTGAAATTGAGGCCAATTCACGAAGGCTCCAGGCTAATTCTGGAGAGTTGGCAACTAAAACGGGGAGCCAGCCTAGCTCCTGCAGGGTTGAGTGCTCCCTGCAGTGTGGTGTCCTGTGGGGGTGCCCTCTGGCTGTGGAGATAGAGCTGTTGGAGGGCAGTGCCAGAGCCCAGCTGTAGGTGGTGGGACTAGAGGGCGGGGGGGGTCCCAGCAGGCTGGATGCTGCAGGTGGAACCCAGGAGTCCTGGCTCCCGTTGGTCTTGGGCTGGGGGCTGGAACTGGCCTTTCCCCGGCCTGCAGGCCGGCGGTGGGAAGGGAGGACCGCGGTCGCTTCAGGCCGGGACCAGTCTCCCGCCGCGGAGGTGGGAGCGGAGCAGGGCTCCCTCCGGTTGGAACGCGCGGTCTCCAGGCCGGGAGGGTGGGAACAGGAAGTGCGCGGAACGCTAGAGCTGCTCCTTGCTCGGGGTTGGCACTTCCTGTCCAGTTTTCGTGAAACGTCACTTCCGTCACTACATTGAGTCTGGGTACCCTGCGTGAAGGTACTTCCGGCCAAAGCAGGAAGGGGCTGGGACTGAAGCGGCGCAGCAGCGAGGGAGTCCCAAGCGGCATGGCCCTGAACGCGACAGGTACCGCCTGGGGGCGGGGCAGGGGTAGGAGCTGCCTGGGGCAGCCGGAGGGGGCGGGGGCAGCCCTGCAAGAGATGCGGGTGCGGCTGGGGGCGTAGGGCTGAGGGAGGGGAGCTGGGTCCGTGGGACTCCCCCAGCAGAGCCAGGGCTGGGGGCATCTGGCAGTAGAGGGGGGCAGCCCCATGTTACGGCTTCAGCCCAGCTCAGCCTCTCCTGGGCACAGCGGCACCGCTCTAGGCAGGCATAGCGCTGCGCGAGCGATTCAATAGAAACCCCCTGCACCCGTCGCTGAAGTGGCTCCCTCGGGGCCGGGCGCAGGGTCACTACACTGACAGCTTGCAAGGACTGCTGTGCGATGGCTCTGCCAACTTCCTGTATCCTCCCTCAGGCAACGATGATGGGAACTGGGAGCCACCTTCAGAGGCAGAGCTGAAGGTGATCCAGGCACGGAGAGAGCGACAGGATAAGATCAGCAGGGTGATGGGCGACTACCTGCTCAAGGGATACCGCATGCTGGGGGAGTGCTGCGAAGAGTGTGGGGTATGACCTGGGGCCCGTGCGGGGAGCCCAATAGAGGGCACTGTGCTCCATGCAGGAGCAGAGGGCGGTGGGGGTCCCCCAGCTATCCATCATTAGTTGTGCAGGTAGTGTTCATGGCCAGCTGCATCTCTTCTAACCTGGACTGATGCCTGAGTGTACTGGGACCTTATAGGGAGCAGGCTGGGCCAGACCTGTCATGTGCATGGGCCTGTGGGTCTGATCCAGGGGGGATACTGGTTTGGATGGGCCCATTGGTCTGCTCTAGCAGCCAGGGGGGCTGGATACTAATCTAAGTGGGCCTGTGCATCTGACTGGGAGAAAGGGAGGCATAGTGAGCTGAATGGATCTCAATGCCCTGCTCAGTGGTTCTGGAATGGGAGCTTCCATCACCCAGGAAGAGTTCCCTCCACTCCCAGTATGAGATCCTCCCCTTCCCATGTTACCTATTCCACCCATCCATATACATTGTGTTCCCCTGTAGAGCAGCATAGGCTGCTGGGAAAGCTGCTCCACTTCAGGGTCATGAATTCTAGTCCCTTCCATGCAACAGGGCTCCCAGCCTTCTGAGAGAGAATTATTGGATTCACCTCCTCCCTTTGCTCCCTCTCCCTCATTAGAAGCCTAGGGGTAATTCTAGTCTGCCTCTGCATTAGAGATAGAGAGCAGCTTTGGTGTCACTGCTTCCCCCAAGTTGGGCCAATCCTCTCTCTTATTGTTATGCCCTGAAGTCCCACACTAGTCTGTCTCCCCTTTGCAGACCATCTTGCTCCAAGACAAGCAGAGGAAACTTTACTGTGTGGCCTGCCAGGAGCTCAACTCTGACATCGATAAGGACAACCCAGGTATGGCCCTTCCCAGCATCATGCTGTCTGCCAGGGAGGGGTTGGAGTGACTTGGGAATTATGGGGGAACTAGCTGATTCAGAAGCCAGGGAATGAGACATTGGTAAAACGGAAAGCATGTCACAGAAGTCTGTGACTTCAGCAACTTCTGCAGCTGGCACATGC